AACGGGAAAGCAGTGGCTACCTATAATGGGGACTTCGGCCGCCTCGCCACGAAGGGATTGCATGCGGGGGTAGCACAATGAGTAGCACATGGAGTATCATACAGCAGCAGCATACGGTGTAGCATACGGTGTAGCATACGGTGTAGCATACGGTTGCATATGATTCGCATGGGAGAATAATTCACATAATATGTATAGGAATACCTTTTCCCGCCTTTTTGCTGTTTTTCCTTTTTGGCTGTTTGTTTTCCCGCAGAGGAAAAATGCAACTCTATACGAAGGGAAAGAGGCGACGAAGTTGCTTAGCGACGGAAAAGTTACTCGGCTGTAAAGTTGCTAAGATGCAAAAAAAAGTCGCCAAATTGGATATGCCATCCGACGACAATTCACTTATTTACAATTTGGGGTCAATTTTAACTGCGGGAAAAGAAAGTTAACCTTCGTGCGAGTTTTATTTTTTTTAATCCCCCCCTTTTAGTTGCATTGTCGTTGCTTAAAAAAAGAAATGAAAAAAAGGAAAAGGAAATAAAATAAAATAAAAGTAAAAAGAAAATAAAATAAAGGAAAAGAAACCATTTTTAAAAAAAGGCTTTCTTCTTTTATCGTTGTTGTTATGTTTCCATTTTTTTATTTTCTTCTTTTTATGCTTTCTCGTTTTATGCTTTTTATGTTTTCATTTTTTTTATTTTCCTCTTTTCATGCTTTCTCGTTTTTATGTTTCATTTCCCTTTTTTTTACTTTTTTTCATTCTCTTCGTTATCCCTTCCCCTTCTGCCAATTTTTTCCACGTCATTTTCATGTGAAAATTCGCATCCCCCTTTTTTTCCTGTGGAAGGGAAAAATATAATATTAACCTATAACCAACTCCCCACCCCTTCGCCCCAAACGAAGAATCGTCGTTTTCGACATTTCTCACCTTTTTGCGCCTGTAGTTTTATCACATGAGTGTAACTATATGTTGCCTATGTAGATCCATTTGAAGGCATACTTGCTGGTTCAGTATATGCTCGTTTGTGCGTCCCCATCCTCCATCAATTCATTTGAGTTAAAAACCAGCAAAGGAGGAACGGAAAAAAGAACACATTTTGCTGAAGGAGTTTTCCATTTCATGCTATCATATTCCTTGTTGGAAAGCCCCTTTTCTGTAGCGCGATCAACGTGCCACTTTAGCTGAACGCGGCGTTCCTACCTAGTGTTTTCGTCCGCGATAGCGAACAGGACTGCCCACTCGACTGCCCACTCGACTGCCCACTCGACTGCCCACTCGACTGCCCACTTGACTGCCTACCTTATTGCAAAATGGCCCTGGGAATATTCAGAAAGAACAAAGCGAACGACACCGTCGCACAGAACAAGGACGTCGTAGGTAAGTCCCGCGTCCCGCTTTAAACGGCTGACCGTTCTGGCTGCCTCCCCTCTGCCGCTCCACGCAGGTGCACCACTTTCCCTTTATGATGAAAAAAAAAAAAAAAGCAACTGAACCGATTTGATGAGTCTCACAGTTTCACCAAGATCTCTGATGAGAAATGTGCACCCTCGTCGCGGCAGCGGTTAAGGGAGAAACACGTTTGTGTTGTCCCCCTCCTCTTCGCCTACCAGTGCTCCCCATCGGCATATACATCTTCTCCTCCTTTCTTCTTTTCCCCCATCGAAGAAGAGGACAGCAAAGTGGACAACAAGCTGACGGAGTCCACCGCAGCGGAGTCGGAAGTAAAGCCCGTGGTTGCAGGGAAGAAGAAGAAGAACGCGAAGAAAGGTAAGGCGTCGAAGAAGGACGCCTCGTCTGAGTCGTCCAGCTCGTCCGACTCCTCCGACGACAGCGACGGGGAGGAGGTCAATGGAGAGGTGAACGTAGAGGCGAACCTAGAGAACAACTCCGCGAATGTAGAGGCAAACGTACAGAGCGACCCCGCGAACGTGGCCAAGTCCAACTCCTCGTCGTCTGACTCGTCCGACTCCTCCGATTCTTCAGAGGAGGAAGAGACCAAAGCTGCGAAGCCAGCCAAGGGTAAGGCGATCAAGGCAGAGAAGGCTTCTAAAGCGGCGAAGAAGGCCAAGGCGAAAGAGGCCAAAGAAGCGAAGGAGACCAAAGCGAAGGCAAAAGCGGCTGAGGAGAAAGCGGCGAAGAAGCAGGAAAACAAATCCGACTCAGATTCAGACTCCGACACGGACTTCGACTCCGACTCAGATTCGGATTCTGATTCTGACGAGGATGAAGCGGAACAGAAGAAGCTGCAACAGCAGAAGCAGAAACAACAGAAGCAACAGAAGAAGCTGAATAACAAGGCGGGTGCGGGAAACCCAAGTGGCGAGCTCGCCAATGGACAGACCGGAGGAAAGAACAAAAGGAGAAATGAAATGACCGTAGCGGACAACAACAAGGGAAAAAATAAGAAGCAGAAATTTAACAAAAATGAAAAAAATGCAAAGGATAACATGGTCAATGGCGGTGCTGAGGAAGATGTGGAAGAAGATGGAGAAGGGGAAGATGAGGAGGAGGGTAATTTCCCCACCGAGTTTGTAGTGACCATACTGAACATAAGTAGAGACACACAGGAAGAAGATTTAAGATCCTACTTGAAGGAGTTACTTAGCGATGATTATGAAGAAGAGAAACTGACGATCCATATGAATCGACTGTACAACAGTGCCTATATATATTGTTCAGAAAAAAGCATCATGGATATCTTCGCTTCAAAATATAACGAGAAGTTTAATGGAGTCCCAATAAAGATTCACCTTAACCCGAATGCCATCTCTTCCGTTACTCTCTCCCACGTTGGAAAAAACACAACGGAGGAGCAGGTAAGAAGTGCCTTCGAGAAATATGGGAATATCACCAAAGTGAACTTTTTCGCCGGAAGAACCAAAGCGCAGATTACATTTGACACGCTACAAAGCTGTGTTAAGTCCTTGGAACACGATGGGCTTCTCATAGGGGATTGTTATGTTCACGTGGCGATGATGCTGAATGGGAATAACTACAATAGTAACTTCTCCGAAAATGCGTATGGGAACAGGGGCCACAGGAATAACTACCAGGGGAATAATAATAATGCGAGTAATGGGCAGGAGAACGAGGGGGGAAATGGAGGTGGTAGGGGTGGCAACTTCTTTGGAAAGAAGTTTGGCCATGTGAACAAGTTCAATAGGAACGGCAGCAACTTCAATCGAGGAAACGACGAAACCAACGGGGGTGGCGGCGGCTTCAATAAAGGAAGTGGCTTCAACAAAGGGGGTGGCTTCAACAAGGGAGGCAACTACAAGGGAGGCAGCTTCAACAACAATGGAGGCGGCTTTAACAACAATGGAGGAGGCTTCAATAAAGGAGGTAGCTTCAATAAGGGAGGCAACTTCAACAAGGGAGGCAACTTCAACAATGGAGGTAACTACAACAATGGAGGTAACTTCAACAATGGAGGTAACTTCAACAATGGAGGAGGCTTCAATAAGGGAGGCAGCTTCAACAAGGGAGGCAACTTCAACAAGGGAGGTAACTACAACAATGGAGGTAACAACAATGGAACCAACAACAATGACGACGGGAACGGGAAGAAGTTTAATAAGAAGCCCTTCAACAACTTCAAGAACAGGAAGAACCAGGAGTTGGCCGCGGGTGCCGACAACTAGGAGAGTCTTCTCCACGGCGTAGGAGCGGCGTAGGAGCGACCGAGGTGTCTGCCCACGCACGCGACTGCCAGCCCATTTACTCACTCCTTCGAGACGCACCATTTTTAATACACTATTTTTTACGCGCCATTTTTAACACACTATTTTTTATGCGCCCCTTCTCACCCGCGCAAGGGAGAGCTCATTTGTTGAAACCTCTACGCAGCGGGAACGGCATCCGACGCCGTCGTTCCCGGCGGCCATTTGTTCACGTACGGATGTGCGGCGCGACTGCGCATCGTGTTCATCCTATTCGTCATATTCGTCATACTCATCATATTCATCGTTTTCGTCATATTCATCGTATTCATCCTATTCATCCTTTTCGTCATATTCATCGTATTCATCCTATTCATCCTTTTCGTCATATTCATCGTTTGTGTGTATACCCGTTTCTCCAGAGTATGCACTGCCCATCCGACGCGCGGCCCCCTTGGGCCTCTACATGTTGCGGCGCGGGAAGGGCAGCGCAAACTGGCTCCCTCTCTCCCCACCCCCCAGCATCCGTAGTAGCGCGGCGAGGTAAACATATCTGCACGTCACTTCGCTTCGGCGAAGCTCATTCTTACGTCACTTCATTTTATCTACACATAGGTATACATATGTGTGTGTATTTTTTTTTTTTGCCACGTTTGTTACACCAAACCAATTAAGTCCCCACTGAGACGTTTAAACCCGTTCAGCCAGGAGTTCAATTAAAAAAAAAAGTTCCAAAAAGTTGAGGCGTAGCGGTGTAGTGGCTAAGAGGCTAACCGGCTAAACGGCTAACCGGCTAAACGGCGCAATGTCGTAATGGCCGACCGCGTCCGGACCACCGCGCCGCTGGTACCGCTGTCACCTCTCACCGGTTACTGCTCACCCGTCACTTCTCCCCCCTTACCGCGGCCAGCAGCGCCGCCCAGGTGGGCCGCACCCGATGGTCGTAGGCGAGCATGCTGCGCAGAAGCAGAAGAAGCTGCGGGCGACAGACGCACGCCTGCAGCTTGTTCACCTTATGTTGAAAGGCGCGCGGATCATCCACGTGGTTGAGGATATCCTCCTTCATCGTCACGAGGTAGTAAAAGCAGAGGCCCAAACAGAAAATGTCATTCTTCACGAGGTACTTCTCAATGTGCTTATTTTTCTTGCCTCCATTTTTCACCATCATCTTCTTCTTTCTCAAGTAGGAAAGAAGTTCAGGGGAAATATATTTTGGCATTCCTCCTTTCCCATTAACAACGTAGTGGAAATAATCTGTGAGCTTGACCTTCGGAACAAAGTTTCCTAGGAGGATGTTGAACCCACTGTTATCGATGTAGAGATTGCTAGGTTTGATGTTCCCATGCAGGACGTCCTTCTCTTCCAAGTGGCACATGAGCTTAATCAGTTTACACAGATTTGTCAATATTAAGTTACTATCAAATTGGTATGCCATGTAGGGCTGTACCTTCTCGATGAACCCCTTCACGTTTCCGTTCAGAACAAATGGGGTTAAAAAAGCAGCCACGTAACTGTTCTTGCCGTACTCCCTCTCTTGCAGCATGATTATGTCACTGTATGGAAGTATACCCAGACGTTCGTAGGTCACTTCGTCGTCCCCACATGCGGGGGGTGTTGTACCTTCTACACTTCCGCTTCTCCCTGGGGGTGGAAACTCATCCTGATCATTTTGCAGCTTGCTTTCCTCGACGCAGCCCTCCTTATATTCGTACAGCACCTGTCTTATGCGCTTTCCTTCGTTGATGAGCGTTTTAACCTTCAGGCTGCTCGTGTTGGCTTCTGAAAAAATAAACTCCCTGTCCTCGATGAGCGTTGCGTCGCACTCGATAATTTTGGCGTTGTACAGGAAGGTCCTAAATTCGGGAGCCCTCCCTCCACGGCGCTGCTCACCCCTTCGGCCTAGCTGCTTAGAGGTGTCATAGCGCTGCTTAGCAGTTTCATAGCGCTTGTCATCGGCTCCCCCGAGCTGCCCCCTTTTTAGGGCGTCCACTAAGGGATCCCCCTCGATCCACACAAAGGGGGAGTCCAAACGAACTGCGTAATCAGCGGACGCGCTACTCACAGCAATGTCATACTTCTCATCAACGGTGTTAATTTTACCGAGACTTTCCTTAAAAAACTCCTTCTTCTCATTCAGCCGCAAGAGGATTTGATTAGCCTGGTTAATTTCCTTTGCGCTGTCCTCACCGATGTGCATCCCGAAGTTGTCTGCCTCCAACTCGTCCGTCTCCAACCTGTTCACGTCGTTCCGGCCGCTTTGTTCCTCCAAATTTTCACACACCCGTCTTGTCATCTTCATCAGTTTGTTCACCTGATTTAACTCTTTCTTTAAGCTGCTGTGAACCATGTTCCCATTATATTTGACCACATAGCTGTATCCGAATTTGTTGTCCTGCCCCTCGTTCTCCACCGCGTAAGAGAACTCGCTCGGCCATATAATGGTGCTTTGCAATGACCCCCACTTGGTCATGTTTGTGTGTCCGGGGGGGAGGGGCCTCTAGGCGGCTGTTTAAGGGGGGTCCCCCCTTTGGTCTGGTCTGTTTTGATTTGCTCTGCTTTTATTTGGCCTGCTTTGATTTGGTGTTTTTTTTTTTTCTTTTTCCTCCAGGTAGCCAAAAATTTTGGAAACTTTGGCTAGATGTCCAAAATCGCCTTAACAGGTCAGGTAAATTTTCTCCAGACGATGCACACACCTGTTTGCATATTTCAATGCGCGCGGCCCGCTCGAACCCGCGGGGAGCTTTCCACTCCCTGCGACGTTGTGACGTTGTTGTGCGTGACGTTTACAAAAGGTCAAATGGTACAAGTTCATCAGTGACAAAAAAAAAAAACAAAAAAACAAAGTCGAGGGAAAATCAAAATGGTGAAAAAGGAATTGCCAAAGTGGAGAGGGGTAAACATGATGGAGGATTCGCTCCAAGCGGTTTGAAGTAGTCACACATTGGTCAACAGAGGGGACGTGGAAGACATCCCACTTGGGACAGTGCCCCGTGAGAGCTACCAAGGAGTGACGTAACCTGCATGGGAAAACGCAAAATCAGGACGAAACGTCTCCCCTTTGGTGAGCTTACTCACTGCATCTTGCCTCTCCTGAGTTGTAAGAACCTATCACCACACCCAACACATCAGAAGTCATAACTATTACGAATTCACATTCACTTTGTAGTCTTAGGCTAGGTCTGAGTAGGTGCTGCCATAGGTATTTTACTACAGTTTTCCATCTTATAGTTGTTTTAAT